ACCGCCCCTGGGACTCACAAGGAGCCACGAGAACGAGTCAGGAATATTTAACAAAGACTGCAGACAAACAGGTAAACACAAACACCCAGCACAAACTGTATCTCTCCCGTGGCAACCATGTGACCATCCGTGCACTCAGAAGGGCAGGAGGAACCTCCAGAATTCACTCAAGCAGCCCGCAGCATTATTTCACTGTTATTACCGTTTTCTTCCATTTTTCAAATCTTCTGTGGAATGGCTTTCTTACGAGTATAAATTTTTTAAAAGACAAAAGTAATAAAACTGCAGGCCACCAGCCAACGGAGATTTATGTCCAGGCACCGAGGCTCGGGGGGGGGGGGGCAGGGGGGGGGTCCAGGGCAGGGAGGACGGGCCGGAGGCGGTGGCGGCCGCGGGCTGCTATGCAGTCTGAAAGGTGTGCGGGGTGTCAGCAGCCCCATAACTCCCAACCCCATTATCTGGTGCCACACGGGAATATAAATCGGGGGTAAGTGGGGAGCCTGGAATAAGGAAAGACGGCAGCACAAGGAAAGGAACACCATTCTTTAAAACGACGACTGTTTATATGCAGGTTAATGCGCTATAAATTCTGAACTCCTATTTTACCAGCCGCATTTTAGTTCCCTAGCTCAGTCCGTATGGCCTTCCTGCATTTAATTTAGCAGAAGTGCGAGTCCTATGCTTGGCCGTTAGTGCCCACGCGAGGTCTGCCCCTGCCGCTCTCACAGCTGGCGCCCTGCGCTGCCGCCGGCCCGGCCCGGCCCTGGCCAAGAAAGCCGACCGCCACGGCAGCTCACACCAAACGCACCCCCACCTCAGCGAGAGCGAGACAGGAAGGGGTCACGCTCCCATAATGCTGTGCTGCAACGCCTGCCGTCCTCACCGAGAAACCCTAACCCCGACCCCTCCCTCCGCCCCAAACCAACCCCCTCTCTACGAGGATCCTGATAAAACTGCGCACTCCTGTAGAGCCAGACAGGCCGCCTCCCTCCCCGCCGAGCCCCACAGAACTCTGGAGCCATCGGACGGACGGACGGACGGACGGACGGACGGAGTGGCTGTCGGACTAACGGCCGATGGAGACGGAGGCCGCAGGGCGCAGGCGGCGAGGGACTCACGTGCTGCGGGCGGGACAGGCTGGAGCTCGGGCCGGGAAGCACCTTCCCGGACAGCAGGACCAAGCCCAGGTCTTGTCGGGGAGCACACAGAACCCGGATCAGCAGGGCTCCAAGAGCGAGTCCCAAAGCTCCCGGTCACCCTCCAGTGCCCAGCGGACAGCCGAGCGGAGGAGAAACACGTGTGAACCGAGAGCATCGACTGGAGGAGCCAGGGACAGCGAGCGCGGTGATGCCCACCCAGAAATAACGTGCACGGGGAGCCCTGGCCGTGTGGTTCAGTGGATAGCGCGACGGCGCGAACCGAATGGTCCCGGTTCCATTCCGGTCAAAGGCACAGGCCAGGGTCGCAGGCTCGATCCCCAGTAGGGCACATGCAGGGGGCAGCCGATCCATGATTTTCTCACGTAATTGATGTTTCTGTCTCTCTCTCCCTCTCCCTTCCTCTCTGAAACCCGTGAGAATATGTTTTTAAAGTAAATAAATAAATAAATAAATAAAGCACGGTGGCACTGACACGGGAACGCAGGCTGCAGGGCGGACCCAGGGCTCAGCCGCCAGGAAAGTCCCGGGACCCGCTGCACTTGGCCTGCTCCCTGTCTCCCTGCTGTCCTAGGAAATGATGCAACGAGAGCGAACAGTGTGTCATGTTAGAAACAGGGAAGGAAGACATTAATAATAAGTATTTCCGACCCACAAAGAGGCCTAAGAAGCAGCAGCACCGGCACAGAAAACACAAGTGAGATAGCAGATTTAAGCCCAAGTAAATGTCAACACACTAAATGCTCCAGTCAAGAGACAAAAATTGTCGGACTGGTTTTTCACTCCACCTACAAGCTGTTTGTAAGACACAGGAGAGGCAGATGGACACAGGAAGGTTTGTAACGGGACAGAAGCACGAACAGTGCAGGTGCCTCGCAGGAGAGAACGGTGCACAATGCGGCTGCACAACAGACGCCAGAGCAAAACGCCGCGAGGGACACGACAGGGACCTGGTCCCGGTGCAGACCGCACTGGCCAGGAGGACGCATGGCGTCACACGTGCACACCGCAGCGTCACACGTGCACGCCGCAGCATCACGTGTGCACACCGCAGCGTCACGCGTGCACCGCACAATCACAGCCTCAAAACACAGCACGGCGTGAGGGCAGAGCTGCAAGGAGGTCAGGCCCGCATAGCCGTGTGAGGGTTATCAAAAGACGGCCCCCTGCGAAATTTCATCAACCAGTGTCACCCCAATAAGTTCAGCCCTGGCCGGTGGCTCGGTTGGTTGGAGCACCGAAAGGTCACCGGTTTGATTGCTGGTCAGGACACATACCTAGGTTAGCCCTGGCCGGTGTGGCTCAGTGGATAAAGCACGCACCCGCGCACCCAGGTTCGATTCTGGTCAAGGGCACACACCTGGGTTGTGGGCTCCATCCCTGGTGTGGGCGTGCAGACGGCAACCAATCAATGATTCTCTCTTATCATTAATGTTTCTATCTCTCCCCCTCTCCCTACCTCTCTGAAATCAATAAAAATATGTAAAAAAAAAATTAATACACTTAAAAAAAAAAAAAAGACCATTTCTAGAGACTAAAAATATAGTCTCTGAAGTAAAAAATACCATGGATGGGCTTAACCACCTATTAACCACGCAGGAGAGCAAGCGAGGGAACACGAAGATGCGGCTGCAGAACCACAGGACGGAAACAGGCAGGAGGGCTGCGGGGACAGCACCAGCCTCTGGAGCCGCGGTTCTCCACCTTCCTGACTCCGCGGCCCTTTAACCGGCTCCTCATACTGCGTGACCATAAAACCATTTTGTTGCTACTTCCTAACTGTCATTTTGCTACTGTTATGAATCGTAACGTAAACATCTGTGTTTCCCTATGGTCTTAGGCAACCTTGTCCCGACCCGCAGCCAGCTGAACAACGGCCATGGGGAGGGGGAGGCCAGCCTGCTCAGCCTTTCACCTCCGGCCCCAGGACTGCTGACTGATCCCGCCCACACCAAACACAGACCGTCTGCCGATCCGGTAAAACGTTACGTATGATTCTGATTCATTTACAACGAACAGCTATTGTTGTACTGGCTGTTGCCAACAGTTGTAACTGGACAATCTAAGGGAACCGAGGTCAGTGCACCCCAGCCAGTTTTGCTCAGTGGTCATCGGGTGTTGGTCCATGGACAAAGGGTCATGGGTTCAATCTGGTCAAGGGCACATCCTTGGTTGTAGCTCGACTGCTGGCCACGGCTGGGGCGCATGTGGGAGGCAACCAATTGGTGTGTCTCTCTCATATCGACGTTTCTCTGTGTCTCTCTGCCTCCCTTCCACTCTCTCTAAAAACCAATGGGAAAAATATCCTCTGGTGAGGACTGACAAAAAGAAGAAAAAAAGGAAGGAAGGAAGGAAGGAAGGAAGGAAGGAAGGAAGGAAGGAAGGAAGGAAAGTTAGTGTATCTGACTACCAGTAAATAGTCAGGTTCTGCATGTTTTTTTGTTTTTGTTTGTTTATTGATTTTTTGCAGAGAGGAAGGGAGAAGGATAGAGAGTTAGAAACATCGACGAAAGAGAAACATCGATCAGCTGCCTCCTGCACACTCCCCACTACGGATGTGCCTGAAACCAATGTACATGCCCTTGACCGGAATCGAACCTGGGACCCTTCAGTCTGCAGAGCCACACCGGTCAGGGCTGTTCCTGACTTTTTAACCCACTGTACGCCATACTAGTAAGCGTCTGTAGACGCAAGCAGTGGTCCTTCCCCACATGCCATGCATAAAAAAAAAAAAAAAAAAAAAAAAAAGTTAAAAAAAAAAAAAGTTTTCCCTAAGTGGCAGCCCTGACCAACTTTAAAATCCTTTTTTGTGAGAATTTTCAGCTGAAATATTCAAGAACACCCAAATTGTAATATATTAATTTTTATAAAATTCATTGCAAATTGATTTTTAAAATTAAATTCCAAATATCGTGGCGTGGGGGGATGGTTTCTGTCTTGCATGGCGGTTAACTAGAATCACGTAACAGTAATCTTATGTATGTCTGACATTGTACATCCCAAACAATTATCTCTATAAGCAAATTCATAAGCCCAGAGCGATCACACGGAATTATAACAGCACCCTCTTAACCACGGAAACGTTCATGTGAATAAAGACGGTCTTGAAGGAGAAACAAACCACAAAACACAGGTGCTAAGTGTGCCCCTTTGCTCGGGGACCAGGGAGCAGACGGTGGTTAAGGCCAGAGAAACCAAACTGGCTGTTTTCTTTCCTGCCAGCGGCTTGTGAGTCGCTGTCCACACCCCAACATCCTGGCGACGCCCCTAAAAACCTGGACCAGAGTTCCAACCCATCGTGCTCTAACTCCGCTCCTGGAGAAAGTCTGCCTCCAGGTTATAGCGAAGGGACACTCCACAAAAGGAGGAAAGTCGGGGTCCAGACCCACGGTTTCCGTTGGAGGGCTGTGCTGAAGTTCACGGTAACTTTGAAGTAACTTTCTATCCATTTGTAACCGGCCGAACACCTGCGGGTAACTTTGTTTCCTAGCGCACCGGCTTAGACGCCCGCTTCACTTCCCAGGACGGACCTGCAGGAGCGTGAACTCCGCAGAGGTCACCCCGGGTGCGAGCAGGAGCAGCCAAGGGGTCCGCCCTGGGTGCCCTCAGCACCAAGTTCATCGGCGCGAGCGCAGATAGATGCCTGCAGCGCCGGCGCTGGGAAACTGCCTAACTTTTGTGTCTCCATCGGAACTTGGTTGGAGTGGACACTCGGGCCAGCAGCCAGAGTCTGACATGGCTCTGCTTTTCAGTTAACCTGCGCCATGTGGCTGGGGACACGGAACACAAGCAGGCATCGGCGTTCCCGAGGACCGAGACGGAAGGGGCGCGGGGCCCACTTACCCGGTCCTTCATCCTCCAGCTCTGGGCCAAGGACTTTGAGCCCTCGATCTTCTCACAGTGCCGCTTCTTCATGAAGGCCAAAGGCAGGTTCCAGTCCGTCAGGTCGGCCTCGTCCTCCTCCCCGAGCCCCAGCAGAGGCGACTGCAGCAGCTCGGCCTCCATCGGGGCGGGCGGGGGCGGGGGGGTCCGGGGCAGCAGGCGCTCGAGCACCTCCAGCCTTACGGCGTCGTGTGCGCCGCGGCCGGCGAGGCGGCGGAGACCGGGTGCCGGGACCCTCAGCGGGCCCGGGTCTGCGGAGGCCCCGCTGCCTCACTCGGGGCGGGACGTGGGGGCGGGAGCGCCGGGGGAACGGGCAGCCCGGCGGGCGCCGCACGGACGCACAGGCCCCCGGGTCCCAGGCCGCGGGCCGAGCTGTCACGGCGGGCGCCACCCGAGGCCTCACGGTGACCCCGCTCCCGGCCTCCGGCCGCCGGTCCCGCGGGGCGGAGGGTCCGGCCGCAGGGAAGGGGCCCGGGGCGCTGGGGCTCCGCCAGCCGCGCTCAGCCCTGCGGGTCCCGCACTCGCCGCAGCTGCTGCGGCCGCAGCCAGGACCGGCCCATCGTGCTCGCCCGCGGCCGCTGCTCACGCCGGGCCCGCGACCCGGCCGGCCTGACCTCCGCGCCCGCGCCCCTCTCCGGCCCGAGCGCGAGTTCCCGGAGCCCGGCCGGGCGCAGCCGCGCACAAGACGGGTATCGGGGGCTTATGGGGTGTGCGGAGTTTTGTCCTCGGGTTTGAAGCTACAGTGAAACTCCTCTCATCAGCACGTCAAGGAGGACGCCATATTGCCGAGACCCAGCATGCACCGCGCCCTACGGTGTGGCCGACGGGCCAAACGACCTCGGAGCGTTCCGGCCGCGCTTCGGGGGACGAGGCGAGAGCGGTCCCCGCCCCCACCCCGTCGCCATGGTTACCACAATTCTGCTTTCCAGGGTTTGTCGCCGCAGTTCTTGGCTGCATGCGATCAAAGCCAAGCCTACAAATGAAACTGTGTTAATTGATTTTGAAAAACAATCTTTTCGTGATTACACATGGACCCGCATGCCTCTGAGATGAAAGGAATCGACCCCTTTTCCTGTTCTCTCCCAGATTTTGAAAACGCAGCGAAAGCTTCAGAAAGAGCCGAGGATAAGATGCCAGGAGAAGACAGGGTTTTTTATTTATTTATTTATTTATTGCGCCTGTCGTGTCTCTCCCAGCATCCATCAGATTTCCTTTTTTGTTGGCGGAAAAGCAATTTCAGCGGCTGCGATTTTTTGTTTCACCGTCCTCCCTGCCGGGCACTTCATTCTGAGGCAGCTTCGTGTGTGTGTGGGAGCAACGGAGCCTGCAGTGCCCTGCGGGAGGCAGGCCCCTCGCTGCCTTGTGTCTCTGGTGGCCCCGGGCCGGCTCATGGTCCCTGTGCAGGACCTGGGTCCGGGGGAGGGGGGGGCCGCGGCAGCCAGCAGCGCTTCCCTATGCGCTCCGGGTCCTTCGACAGAGCTGCAGGGCGCCCAGACGCTGTCTCCCTCCGTGCTGTCGGGGTTGGTCTCCGGCTCACTAGGACCCACGTCTCAGCCATCTGGCTTTCCCTCCCAGTGGCCTTAGTGTTCTCCGCTGTAAAGCTGGGGTAGCAGACCCACCCTGGAGGGTAGATTGAACCCCCATGGCGCCCGGGCAGAGTGGGCGCCTGGGCAGAGTGGGCGCCCCGGGCAGAGTGGGCACCTGGGCAGAGTGGGCGCCCCAGGCAGAGTGGGCACCCTGGGCAATGCCAGCACCCACTGGCACAGAACCAGCGTGTCATTAACCTGGAGCCTCAGGTGGGCGCCAAGCAGACCCCCTTCTCAGCGTGGCTCGGGCGCTGGCCGCCGGGGTCCGCCTCAAGCTCCCGTGTCCCTCAGCATCGAGGGGACGTGCCAGCCCACGCCGCTCCCGCCTCCCACACTGCGCCGGGTAGTTCTTGGTTCAGTCGCTGTCATTCCAGGGTGGGGGGAGAGGGCTGGGTCTAGCAGGGGGGCAGCCCCAGGACCCCTTGGGCTCCTTGGCGACCAGGGCCCGCAGACCTGTGGGGACCAAAGCAGGGTACCGTTGTGAGCACGCAAGGCCCAGAGTTTAGTCCTGGCAGGTGTGGCTCAGTGGATAGAGTGTCGGCCTGTAGGCTAAAGGGTCCTGGGTTCTATTCCGGTCAAGGGCATGTACCTTGGTTGCATGCACATCCCCGGTAAGGGGTGTGCTGGAGGCAGCTGGTCGATGTTTCCAGCTATCTCTCTCCCTTCCTCTCTGTTAAAAATCAATAAAATATATTTTTAAAAATAGGTGGTGGGGTGGGGGGGCGCCTGCTGACCCGCCTGGCCTCCGCCTCTGATGGGGCTGGGAGGGCACCTGCCAGGAATCTACTCACCCCACGTGGCCCATGAGCCCCGCCCTCTTCCTGGGAATTAGCTCCTTAATTCTCTTAGGCTCCCGCTCTGCGTCAGCTTTGCCAGGAGATTGAGACAGACTGATCCGGTGCCCTGCTGGGCCGGCCGGGGCCCGGCGGGGCGGGACCCTGGAGCCCACAGGAGCCGCAGCGCCCCGTGCCCTCGCCTTCCCCGGAGACACACTGAGCCTCGGGCCGGTGGGGGAGACAGAGTCACACGCTCGCTCTGGGGGCAGCTGGGACCCGGGCGGGTGCTGACAGCACCGAGGCCCGGTTTCCTGGGTGAAACGGAAACGGTCAGGTCTGCTCCTTAGAGATGCCGAGGGGATGGAGCGAACGAACCGATCGGCACTGGCACCCTCACCGCCACGAGAGCCGGTCCCAGCGGGAATCGAACCCTGACCTCCGGTTCAAAGGTCGATGCTCAACCACGGAGCCACGTGGCTCGGCCCCATTTTCCTTTTGATGGACAGCTCTCCGGGGAGGCGGGGAAAGCGCCCCAGGCAGGCCAGTCACGTCCTCCTTGGAACCGAAGGCTGGAGCACAGCTAGACTGGGGCTGGGGGTGAGGTGTGGGGTTGGGGGGCTGGGGCGAGGAGTGTGGGGCTTGGGGGTTGGGGGGAGGCACGGGGGGCTGGGGCAGGACTGGGGGGCTGGGGGGAGGCAGGGGGCTGGGGCGGGACTGGGGGGCTGGGGGGAGGCAGGGGGCTGGGGCAGGACTGGGGGGCTGGGGGAAGGCAGGGGCTTGGGGGCGGGGCTCGGGGCTGCGGAGCAGGCGCCCAGAGTGCAGCTCCTGCTGGCTGGGAGCGAGCACAGGCGGAGGACAGACATCCCCGTCTCGCCCTCGGAGATGAATGCCCCGCTCGGAGGGGAGGGCGCGTGGCTGTCGCAGACGCCCAGCTGCCCGGGGAGTGTCTGGCTGGCTGTCACGGCGCTCGGTCTGCTGGCGGGCGGATGGATGGGCCGCCCCGAGTCACCCCGCGGCAGCGGCGCCCCAACAGGCGGCCCGGCCGGCGAGCGCCGGGGAGAGGGGCCAGGCAGCTCTGCGGCCTTCCTGCCGTGTGGGCATCACCCCCTGTTCCGTCCCTGCCACTCTTCCCCGTCTCTAACGGAGGAGGCGCCAGGGGGATCCGAGCTGGTCCTTCCCACAGCCTGGCTCTGCGCCCTCGCCCTGAGGAGCCACGAGGGCCTGTACCCCCTCGTACGGTCTTCCCGGCTCCTGTTTGGAGTGAGGTTCCATTGCCAGGCATCTCAGTCAGGTTCCCAAAAAGTGTGTGTGGGGGAGCACTGGGGCGAGCAAGAAGCCGGCCCTCTCCTTGGAGTCTGGCTGTCCCTTCCGCAGCGCCCCCAGAGGGACGGTCCCCTGCTCCCCGAGGGACAGTCCCCCGGTTCCCTGCCCCCAGGGACCAGCACTCCCCTGAGCCGCCCCTCCCCCACCCCGGCAGGGCTTTCCCGGCAGCTCGATAGAAGCCGAAGGCTGACAGGATGGAATTGAAATGATCCTATATAATCCTATGTAACCCTACGTAACCCTATATAATCCTACATAACCCTATATAACAAAAGCCTAATATGCAAATCAACCAAATGGTAGAACAATGGGTCGCTATGACACACACTGACCACCAGGGGCAGACACTCAGCACAGGAGCTGCCCCGAGCCCATAGGCCCCAGGCCAGCCAAGGTGGGTGCCAGGGGGTGCCCAGCACCCTGCCAGCCACCCTGCAGATCAGCCCTGATGGGGCCAGGCCGAGGGACCCTCCTGTGTCCGCACTCCGTGAGCCCCACCTCTAGTGATAATCACAGACAGCAGCAGCCAGCACGCTGCCTCCCCGGGTTCGAGGTCTTCACCTCGGGAGGCGAGGGGGCACCGGGCAGCCTCGGAGACCCGCTCCCGGAGCCGGCCGCAGTGGGACCCAAGACTGTCCCAGGCTGATGGCCACACCACCACCGTCAGAGCCGACCTCGGGCCCAGGCCACCTCCAAGGCTGTGGCCGGGGCCCCGTCCACCTTGTGGCCCTCACGCCCTGGGCGCCATCTCAGAGGCAATGGATCTGGGCAGATCCCAAACGATCCGGGCAGATCCCAAACCATCCAGGCAGATCCCAAGCCATCCAGGCAGATCTCAAACGATCCAGGCAGTTTCTCAGGAGCCAGTTACATCCCCAAGGGGACCTGGTCCCACCCGCCCTGCCTCTGACGCTGCCCTCACACGGGAGAGCGCTCGGCGGCGGGCACCACACCGGGCCCTGCGGGGAGACCCCGCCTGCTGGGTGCGGCGAGCTCTGCGCCCACAGGCTCTGCGCCCACAGGCACCCGCCTCCCTGCACCTCGGGGCTCTCACCTGGGCGGGGAGAAGGCGAGGTGACACCCCGAGGGGAGAGGCTGACGGGACAGGGCTGGGTGGGCATCTTGCAAAGCGATTCTGTGAGAGCTTCACGTGTATCAGGAGCCTCCGGGCCCAGTTCACGCAGGACACACTGGTTCCCAGCACCACCTGAGGTCCCGGGGCCAGCCTCCCCGCGCCGACACAGTCACGCCCGGCCCCCGCCTCCGGGGCCTCGCCGGCCGCACCCTCCCTCCAGCACCGCTCCTCCGCCCAGCGCTTCCCGCTCGCGCCCTGGGTCCCGCTGACGTCACGGCTCCCTGCACCTGTCTGTGCCCCTGCGCCCTGGAAGGCAGGCAGGCGCGCTCAGGGCTGCGTGGAACAGGAGGTCGGTCCTGGTCAGGGCACGGGTCCAGGTTGCGGCTCGGTCCCTGGTGGGGGGGGGGGGTGAGGGGGCGTGCAGGAGGCAGCCGGTCCATGAGCCTCTGTCATCTTCGATGCTTCTCTCTCTCTCTCCCTCCCCCTTCCTCTCTGAGATCAATCAGTAATAAATATATATTTAAAGCTGGTAAATACACATAAGAAAAGCGTCTTAAACGTCACTCCATGTGCCTGCCCAGTGGTATGGAGACATCCTGTGGCGCCCACACTCCCCCGCCGGCCTCTCCGTGCTGAAGGCCCCGGGGCCTCCTGCGGGGGCGTCACACGGCTGTTCCTCGTCACCGCTGAGTCCACAGAGCAGCGTGCTTCCTGCCGCGGCTGAGTCACGCTCCGGCCGATGGGCCGATGACTCCATCCCAGCCTCCACCCCTGCTGCCGCAGCTCCTCCTCTTCCCTCCCCCCTCTGCCTCCTCCCTCCTCCCTCCTCCCTCCTCCCCCCTCCTCCTTCCTCCCTGCCGAGACAGCAGGAGAGGCTGCAGGCTTTGCCAAATGATCCCGGGACACGGCGTCCCTGGCTGAGAACACGGCTCCGGGCCACGCCGTGTGTGAAGACCGAGGCCTCGCAGCAGCCTCGCCCTGTGACGGACAGGGCACGCCGGACGTGTGTGGCGCAGCGGCCGGGCCCCGGACCCCTCGCCCCCGTCAGCCG